CCCGGCGCCTTCTTCATCCTCCCAATATATTTGAAAAAGGCTCCAAAAGCTAAGGTTTTAAGAAAAATATCAGGCATCACAAGACTGACCAAGTGTAGCATTTTTTTGTATCTTGAACCCCGTCTTTTGTAACTGCAAGTTATTTTGAATTAGTGCACCCAGGTTTTCCCTGTTTCAGACCTCCCTTTTGCACCTTGCGGGTGGCTGGTATCATGAACACCGCTTTTCCTGTCCCGCCAGAGTCCATCACCTCGGCACTAATCGGGACCTACTCATGCTTGCATTGAAGTCAGTGGCAAAGCTCCCATCCATTGCAGTGTTGGCAGGCCCTTCGGTTCCTTAGTGCCATTTGGAAAGCACAGGACGTATTTGAGTCCTGTTGACTTCGGCAAGGGCCTTAGGCCTTTCCCAGGAGACCATCATTCCCTCACCGGGTGGGACTTGTAGGGTCATGCTCTGTCTGGTCATTGAGCAGGAGCTCAGCTGGGGACAGGAAGAGACAAGGAGCCTCTCTGCTCGGGGTTTCCGTCACCCAAAGCCCGGCCCAGTCCTAAGTGTTAGCGCTCTCATAAATGCAAGGCTTGCTCCTCCTAGCAGCCTAGTGGTACAAACAGCTCCCAGGGGCATCAAGAGAAGCAGTCTGCATGTCTTGCTGTCACGTCTGGTCTTAAGAGGCAATTCACATCACCAACAGCCTCTCAAATGGCAGTATGTCTGTACTGGCCTCTTGCTAGCAGACTCATTTTGGGCCATCTGGCCTAGAGTTTGTCAACCCAACTCATGCACATGCCATTGGCAGGGAGTGAGGGAGCGACCACCCAGCCTGTGCCCGTTCCACTGGCTAAACAGGGCGTTTCTGTCTCTGAGGGTACGAAGCCGAGGGCTTTGCACTGGCTTTGTTGGCTGGAAATGAAGGAAGCCGATCGCTCGAGGAAACTGCCGATGTGGAGAGAAGCAGAAAACAGGCCTCCAAATATTTGACTGCTTATACCTTCACCCTCAAGGAAATGCGACTTCATTTGAAGCAAATTCTCTGCAAGAAAGATCCCCAGGTCACACCGGCAGAGTTGCTCTTTTGTCCTTCACCAAATAGATATTTGTTTGGAGCCATTTAGACAACTTCTCCCTCCCCCTCCTGCCCCCCACTTTTTTCTTTTCCCTTTTTTGGTGAAATGTAGATGAAATTCTCTCCTTTTCTGTTACCCTGAAACAACCTGGACACGCAGAGAGGCCCCTGTGGTTTTGATACATGGGTGCCACATCAAAAATAGGCTCGTTTTTGCCTTTCAAACAAAAAAGGAAACGAAGAAATGTTGTATGTCGGTCAGCCCCATTTGTTGTTCACGTCCTATGGTTATAATGGATGCGGGCGTGGTAGTCCACAAGACTTGCTAGTAGGTTTGCACATTTGTTATAAATGTTTGCCAGACAGTTCCTATTTGAACTGCGTATTTCAAGTGCTCTGGTCTTGGGACTTTATTTAATCAGGCCCTGATTATCAATATAATAGCTGGGTAATGCAGGGCTTCTTCAAACCACGTTCTGGTATTACCCAGGAGCATTAATGCACATGCCCAAGAGCGTAAAAGGGGTGCTGGGCAGTGAAAGCATTGCAGGTTTCAGTCTTAATGTAAGGGGTTGTGTTCCCGGGCAGTATCGGGCATTTACACCAAAGTGCTTCTTGTGCTGGAAGTGCAGTATATTCTTTTGCACAGCTGCCCTGTTGCGCAGACCCTGGGCTGCATCCAATAGGCACTTATGACGGAGGCGACACCACCGCTGGCTCCCAGGCTCCTGGCCCCCAGACTGGAATCCATCATCCTAGGGTGATGCCCAACTTCCCCATGCAGCGCATGGGCTGTTAGGCACCCCAGAAGCGTAATTCAGGGCAAGTCAATGGGAACTGGAGCAAGTCAATGGGAAACACTAATCCCAGGAGTTCATCCAAATTCTCAGCCCTTTCCAGAGCCCAGGCACCTGAGACAGGCCAGGCTGGCACTTCTGCTCCTCTCCTGTGGTCTTCGAAAGGATTGAGCAGAGCTTACTACTTTCATTTAACCATGATGCCAATTAAGCCCCCTCCCCACCCCCTCTTTGATGTAATTGCCTAGTAGTTAGAGCACTCACACAGCAAACGAGAGGGCCAGGTTTGGTTCCCTCTTCAACCTGATAGGGTTCCCATTTCCTCAGAGAGTGTCTGAACCACCAGCCTATTGGTAGGGTGAGTGGAGGTCTCTGTATTTTGTTCAATTACTATGAAGTATAAACTACCAATATATTCATGAGAGCAGGGCCCCCCTTCCCAGCTAATCACCCTAACCACTAGGTTATAGATTCCTACCCTCTTTGTGCACCCAGAAGTACGGTAGCTAGGAAGTTTTGTGCCTGTGGCAAACCTGCAGCAGCAGCCCACCCGTGCCCTGCACACAGATCTGGGGGGCACATGCCCCCCCATGCTTGCTTGGGGGTGCACGCAGCCATGGGAGCCACCCCCCTGCCTTACCCCCCCAGATGAGCTGCTTGCAGCTCCGTCCCGCACCCTGCCCCAGGCCCAGCCTCCCTCTTCCATCACTGGGAGGGCCTCAAACTGCCCCCCTCATGCCCCTTCCCTCTCCCCACCCCTTCTCCCGCAACAGACTCACCAGCTGGTTGC